CTACCAGGTACAGCCCAGCAGTGGGGCCGCAGCGCTTCAGAGCGCCACGGGCTGTTTTCCTAAAAGCGTGGTGAACCCCCCCCAGCCAGCTGCCCAGAGCCTGGGGGATGCTGCGGCCCTCACCTGGGCAAGGGGTGACGGCCAGCCCCGGCAGCTCTGTACCTACCTAGGGCAGCTCTGTACCTGTCCAGCACAGCTCTGCTGTAGGAAAGTAAAGGGCTGGGCCACAGAGCAGATGAGGATGGGGTACAGGAAGGGGCTGCCCCTTCCAGCCTTAGGCACAACACTTTGATCAGACCATCGGCTGCAGGTCAGAAAGAAATGCACCCCTCGTTAAACCTGCACTGCCGTGTCACCACTGCAGAACCCTCCACCTATTACACAGGCGGACTGTGCAATGACAGGTTATACGCATGTATAGTCTTTCCAGGGTGGGTGTCAGCGTAGACAAGCTGCCCACACAAGTGCCGTGTGATGGACAATGCAGGCACGGCCAGACACGCCACAAGCACACATTAGTGCGGATCACAGCGTACTCCAGGGAAGAGCAGGCGCTGCAAGTACAGCTGGCTTGCTATTGCACTTGCCTTCTCAGGGAACAACGCAGCTGGACAGACCTACAAGAAGGTCTAGCGACAAGGACACCCCTACCAGTTGCACCGACAGAGGCTTTTTTCCAGAGTGCTACTCTCTCACAGTTAAGCATCAGGAGTCCCTTAGTTCCTATACCTATTTGAAAACACCCTATACACAACTTGCTTGTATCCCACAACAAAACCTCTGCTGCCGTTCACACGATACACAGGAAACGCACACACACAGATGCACACTTAGAGGAAACCTCCTTCATACACTCGCTGTGTACCGCTCTGCAAAAGGAAACCAAAATACAGCTGGGGAGAGGAGGAGAGGAAGATTTATCTTAATGAACACACCCTGGTCAGGATCAACTCGCATATTGAGATTTCAAAGCAGTCCACGTCCAGCAGCGTATTAGTCCTCTCCCCACAACCGATTCAGAAAGCTAGGTTAATATAAGAGTGTTGCATGACCCTGGTAACGACACACTTTCCATCTCCTTGCCTTCCTTTATATCACCACGCCGTTTTCTTTTGGTTCTGGAAATCCCAGTCACCCATATTCCTGTTAGCCCCAAGATGTGCCCAGCCCAGCTCGAGCTTCACCAATCACTTCATCAGGTATTTTGGTGATGGTCAGGGCTGAAGCCCCACGGCGGGACTGCAAGATGGGGTGGAAACGCTTACACAGCTGCTATTTTTGCTGGCACTAAGAAGGACATTGATACCTGAACGTTTCCAGCCACATTCATGCACGCACAATCTCCGTCCCCACGCCCCCAACTGAGGGGACAAACATTAAAATGACGTACAATTTTGAACTGCAGAAGTATGTAAGAAATAGTGAAACAACAAACCCCATCAGATCACATAAAAAGCCTAGAGAATTCTCCAAGCCAGGGACCATGCACCTTCAATGTTTATAAATTAATTATCTGAAAAACCCAGGTCACTCCTTATTGCCACAGTGCCTGTAATTTAGAAGTCTGGCATGCAGCCAATTCCAGAAGCCGCATTGATCCTGAGTGACCGCAACAACCCCCCGCACGCGCACCCTCTCCTCTCCTCTCTCGCTCCCCTCCTTCCTCCCCCTGCGCCCCTGCCCCCCCGCCGAGGATCTGTTATTTACAATCCTGCACTCTGACAGTTGGGAAATCAGATTGATTGACAGCGGGACGCTGGCGGATGGAGGTTCCAGGCACGGAGACAGACTGAATTCAGAATGTGGGATGAATGCCACTGGGAGAATGGGGGTGGAGGAGGGGGGTTGAAAAGCAATTAAAAAAAAAAGATTTCTAAATTATTAACATTTTTTAAATTATTAATGTTATTGGTGCCTCCATGTGAGCCCGCAGATAAACTGCGCTTTGTACTGGCACTAATAATTTATAGCCCAACCAGAGCCCTGTGGTGTGGAGACAATCCAAAATACACAAAGTTTTGTCTTGTCAATGTTACACGAGAGAGTCTGTCTGTGCAGACTCCTTTCCTCCCCCTGCCCACCCCAAAACCTCAGTGTGACCCCTCAACCTAACAAATGCTGATGAGACAATTTAATCATAATCATAAAAAAATACGTCAGGCTTTTAATGTAATGAGCTACTTTACTCATTACACGGGGGGAGAAGGGGGTGATACCAGCTGTTCTGCAGCACGCACTCTGCCTGGACGTACACGTTCCCCATGTCCAGCAGCCATCCGGTGCCCAGGTTAAGTGATCTATCACGACCGTCTGTTGCAATACCGGTACACATAACACGTTTTGTGCCGAGTACGTGCTCTGTTGTATTCAACATGGTCTACGCAGACCTGCACGTCATGGCTGACTATTCGGCATTTCCATGTCTGCATGTGTTTTTCTTTTGTGCATGATGCATGTTACGTACTGTCCTCTCGCATACTGTGCTTGTGTTCATTGCACGTGTGGTGTGGAAACTCCAGCCCTCTGGTGCGTGGCCTTGCCCTGTACCTACGTATCATGCTTGCAAGAGCTCTGCATCTCTGTACATGTCTGCGATGCTGAACACCACACACAGAAGCATATGCCACGTTCGCTACAGTGTGCCTCAGCACAGGTTTATGCCATGCCTTTTGCTGATAAGCAAATCTTTACTCCACAGCGAAAGGAATCGCCTTCTTGCCCCCAGAGAAGCCAATCAAATCAAAGAGTGGCAAAGACGCCAGCTTCTTCCTTAACCTAACAAGGAGCCCTGGGGATTTACACCCTAGACCGGAGATCCTTCTCCAGCTCTTGCTGGATGCTTCACCTATGTTGCTTGCGCCCCTTCCGTGGATCACCCAGGCAGGTACGTGTCAGCCCTCCGCGCCTTGGATAGGAAGCAGCACAGGGGCTACAGATTCTTGCAGAGCACTGCTCTTCAGTGACGCTTCAACCCTCTGCTTCCAAGACTGGAACAGCGTCACCTCTTCCGTCTCCCTGGCTTTGCCGGATCCAGACTGCCGAGTTACTTCCCTCACCCCCCACTCCTGCGTCAGAGGACCCGGGTACAATGCACGGCTTTACGCTGGACCAAGACGAGCCAGCGCCAGCAGGCTTTGCTCGCCCGAGGGAAGGTGAAGCGTCCCTGTGGGCTGAGGAGCCTTTAGCCTGTGGAGGGATGCTCGTGGCTCCTGCGCTCTGCCAAGCGGCTCCCAGGGTAGAACCTGTAACTGCCTAGTGCCCCCTTTAGGCACAGTGCAGGATGCTGCAGCCGAGCTGGATTTAGCCAGCTGCCTCCACAACCCAGGCAAAACCTACCAGCAATCCTTCAGTTCATGCGGGACCCATTAGATCCTGGTACTGCAGGACCCTTATCCCCTCAGGACATCAATCCAGCCCCAGGACAAGGCAGCAACGTTGGACAATGGTACCTGTTAATGAGGAGGCTGCTTCACGACCAGATTTTGGATTTTCCCCTCCTTGTATTAACGTAACTGTACAAGCGCCAGCCTCCTTTTAAAGGGCAGAAGGCAGCATCTTCACTTGAACATAGATATTGGTGCAGAAATACTCCTGTGCTGCTAAAGCCTAGAAACAGCAGACAGGCAGGTACAGAGGCACAATCCACAGTGCACACAACAGGCCTTAAATAAAGAAGGGCCGGGGGGTCCCTCAGCTACCGCTAGTGCCCAGCTCAACCTCAGAGGACCATGCCATCCTGGGAAGATCTGGGGACAATTTCTTAGTGCTGGAAGCTGTGACCTACAGGGTCCTTACGGCAATGCTCTGAGGAAGCCCTCACCAAGTGAGCATACACTGGGTATGGAAGAAGTTCTCTTCCTTTCAGCAACCCTTCCCCTCACTTTTCCACAGCAGATCCGGCTTTGGCTAGTGAAGGACCAGATCAATCCTCGGTGATGTAAACATAATTGTTTTTAATACATGGTACCATGGATGAACTTGTCCCACGGTCTTCAGCGTTTGCCTGCTAAGCTGTCTTCACTGCAACTTAGCTTCATCTGCATATTTTAATTGTCCATAAAATCATGACATCTAATTCTCATTAAGGTGAAAGGTCTTTAACACCAATTTACGCTATGTCTGTGGGTAGCAACTATTGCACAAACTTTCTAAACCTACCACTATCAATGCTTAACTAAATCCTGCAACATCATCTTGCTGTTTCAGATCCCATCACTAAACGGCAGGAGTATCTGGCACTGCCTACATCTCACACCCCCCCTGCTTTATGCCAACACTCATTCCCCTTGCTCCACATTATGACCCAAACAAGACTTACACCACAGATTCTGAATATCCAGGTTGACACAAACTCTTGAAACAAAGGAAGAAAAGGACACACACCCCCCACCGCCACTGCAAAAATACACAATAGCGATGTTGCAGCTCATCCATCCCAGTAAACAAATGCGTAGCCCCCACAGCTAGCTACAGAAGGTATTAGCATTTATAGATGCCTGAGGGTAGATGCCCCCAGAGAGATGGTGGGAGAAACAGTCTGTAGGATACTCTCTAGCACCACCTGTATTCACTGCATGATAAACATGCAACGTTGCAGCCCATAAATCCTCCTCACATGCACACAGGGGTTAGGGACATCTTACAAGACTTATACCAAACGGTAAAGCGAGCCCCTTCTCCCGTTCGTAAGAGCCTGTACCTCCGTGGCTGGGCACTGCCATACTGTTGGCCAGCTGGTAGAGACGTTGTTGCTGCTGCTCTTCAAACGTGCCGTGTTCATTCAGTGCTGACATCATGCGTCTATAGTGCTCCTCTGGGGTCATCTGAGTCACCGAGTCCTCAAGCAGAGGCGTGTGGGAGTTTTCTGAAAAGCAGAAAGATTTGGTCTTTTTTCCAGAGAGAAATACAGTGGAAAATCACATAAGTATAGGGACTGTGGAAAAGAAAGAGAAAGGGGGATAGAAGGATATTAGCACAATTTCCCACAACTCCGTAATGTACCCACTGAACAAGATGTACCAAACTGTCAAATGCAGCTGTCCTTGTGCTCCGAGATGTACCATCATATGTGGTCAAGACACACCTATACCTTGCTAAACCTCCAAACATGGGCACACTTATATACAGAAAAGCCTACAGCTTCAGTTGCCACAGCACCCACAAAACTTATGAACGACTTCCCCCCGCCAAAGCAACAAGCATTACCTTATAATAATACAAAATTACTAGCAAGCTCTCTACCCCCAAGGTGGCAGAGAAGACAGGCAGGATGAAAGAGTTCACTGAGTTCTCACCCTTTCATCTTAGGGGACGTTGAGTTCTTTTTTTCAACTAATACCTGATCCGACATGCACCTCTTTCCCCCACCTTTCTGAACACCCACAAGGACACAATAACGCGAGAGATGTTCAAGCATCCAGTGTAGGTGATGCTGACAACCGCACAACAGACAGTGATGACAGTCCACCTGCCCAGCTCTTGGAGGCAAGTCACAAAAGCGGGTTGTTTCAGATCTGTACGTATGGCTAAGCACCCTGAGGCCATTAAAATTATACCCAGCGTGCCTACCTCTCCATCTTCCCGGAATGACTGCACAGCCAAGGAGGCGCTTTGAGGAAGGCCCTGCCTGCTCCCTGGGCAGTAGGGATCCCAGTCTAACAATCAGGGAGATAAAGCCACAGAGGCTTTCTGTTTACTGTAAGCAGAACTCAAAGTAATTACCGTTCTCCACCTTGGCGGTGGCTGCTCTAACACTATTTTATCTTGGATCTTCCCCACAGGCAAAACCTTTTCATTACTCAGAGAGGAACTCCCGGTAACAATCTAAACAGGCAGAGGGAAGGGAGGGAGCAGGAAGGGCTCCCCCCATGCTGCAGTCACAAGACCACCGCTGCGTTCAGTGAATGACAAGACCACCCTACCGTGTGCCCCAGATTCGTGCTCCTTCATCCACCTCGTTTCACAGACAGAGTCCCTCAGGGATCGTGGCAGGTGATGCTGCTGCTAGACTGGCTCCAAATTCAAGGTGGTGGCTCTGAGCACAGGCCACTTACTTTACACCAGAGTCAGCACTGTGATGAATATGCAGGCACTGACATCTTGCTGGGAAAAGAGCTGTGGATCTCTCTCAGGTGAGAGAAAGGCCCCTAAGCTAGCTATCAGCAAAGAGCCTGTGGCAAACAAATACAGTCCAAGAGACAGAGTACCTGTAAAACGTGGCCCTGCCACAGCAGCTTAGGGAGTCGTTCACTTCTGCCTTGGCCAGAATGAGAGGCCATTAGTGGCAAGTGCTGTCTGCCACCAAACTCATTACACAACCAAGCATACAGGGGCTCAGATTTTGGGGATGCAACCCTCACGTGCCGTAATGAAGCCACCTCCTCCCCAAAACATAGGAGGGGCTAATAATAATAACAGCCTGAGCTGCACAAAGTTTCAGTAAAAAAAGGGTTGCATCACCGTCTCCCAAGGCACTCTTCCTCTACAAAAGGGAAATGACTTCAGTCCCCTCCAACTCAGGTCAGCCATCCAGCTCAGCAAGGATTCTCAATCAGCATAACAATTTGTGGCCCTATCTGCAACCACTGATCTCTACCCCAGTGACAGGCATCTGCATCTCAGGGACCACAGGCTTCCTGTGTAAATCACAGGTTCGTGGCCTGCTTCAAGGTAGCTATTGTCAGGAGCTGGGTCCCCACCCTGTACTGTGTGCATCACGCTTAGAAACCAGACCCGAAAGAGGGAGGCTGCACAAGAAGACAGCCATACCATGCCTGCTCCCTCCCACTCCCCGCCTCCGGTACCCAAGCCTGCAAGACACCAGTGGAAGGAGCGGGGGGCTGGGGGGCAGAATTCCCTTCCAGGTCCCCTTTCCTCCCAGTCACTCTGCAGGCCAGACTCCCACATCCTCCTCCGCTCTCTTGCCGCTCCTGCCACCTCCCCCAGGAACACAGAAATGCACCAACTGTTTCAGTTCCCTTCTGATGCTCTTAACCAAAGGTCTAAGGAGCAAAGCCGCATGCCACAGACCTGATTTAGAAAAACACGGATATATTTTTTTTTTCCCCCCACAGCTGTGTCATTAGAGAAAAAAGGGAGGGGGGAAGGGATTTAATAACACTTAATTACCATAAACTCTATCCGATCAGCCGCAGAGCAGATTTCAGGTGCAAGGAGAGGAGGGAGAATGGGGGTGGCAAGGGGAGGCTAAGAGGAAGGAGTAGTCCAGGGAAAGGCTGGATTTCCACACTTAAAACTTGGAAGATTTCACATGACTCAGCCAGCGATAATTCCAGCTTTGCTGAAGCTTTGCTGTCTGCTTTTGTCATTACCAGGGGGTAATGCGGGAGACTGATCTTGCCAAATCTCTTCCAGCCGCCAGGTGTGAAATGGACTCTGGCACGGTCACTGGGAAGGCACAGCCGAGGCGGGCATCTGTTGGGCCTTCACGGTCTCCAGCACGCCCCCCTGTTCGCCCAAGCCAAGGGGAGCCCACCTCTCCCACCCTCCACCAACACTTGCAGGGTCCCGACAGTAGCACCCACAGAGAATTCAGGCTCTCGGAGGACACGGGTTTTCTGCTCGGTCTGAAGGACATGTCATTGCTGCACAACCTTTTCACCAAGGCTCGTCCTCCCCAAGCAATCCCAGACAAGACAGAAGCACCCAGCCTGTCTGTCTCCTCTCCTTTGCTACAACAAACCTACAACAGGCCGAGGCTCCCTTTACTGAACCACAGTAAAAGCTTAAGGAGCCTGCTGCAAAAGCATCTCACCCCAGGTTCAAAGCCAGGTCAGCGGCTTTAGGGGTCTTTGCTGCCCGAGCTGTCACTTGCCAGGGCAGAGAGGGCCCGTGCCCACTCCCCCCATATTCAGCAGTATGGGTTTGGGGGGCAGTGAAGTTGTTAGCGAGAAAGGGGCCCAATATTGTTTCTTCATTTGGCCTAATTGGACAGCTGCCAAGCCAATCACCGTATGGATATCCCCCCCAAAGAAGAGGAACAAATTGACAGAGGCTGGATTGGAATCGCTCCGCTGTAGTCCAGCTCCGGTTCTGGTCTACTTCATTAACCAAAGCTGCAATAAGATTTTGTTTTGTTTTAAATGATCTACAGTAGCAAAGAAAAGAGAATGGCAGAAGGAGCGGCATATGAGCTCATCAGCCCACCCCAGGGGGCGAGTGCGATATTGTTCCCTACGTGTGTTTTCCAGCACTTAGTCCAGTCCAGTTTCAAATCTTCCCAAATGATGAGGCTTCTACCAGATTTATTTTTCAGCAGTTCAAATAGGAACCAAAATACTCTTAGTGATTTTCTCTTTTTGCAATCGTTCAGTTTTATTTCATGTCTCAAGGTATCGGAGAAGCAGATCTCCAGACATGCTGTTGCCGCAGGAGTGAGGGTTTTACTTGGGGAATTGTCTCCCGGGGAGAAAGCTTCCTCCGTGACCTGCCAGCACAGCCCTCGCTCCGAGCCTCTGATATGCTCGCATTTCCATATTAGACGCGAGAACGTTCTGCTCTGTTTGACAGCAGTGCTGGCGCGGCCCTGTTTCCACTGAGATAGGGCTCTCTTTTGATCTCTGGTGCGCACACTGCGCGCGTTGGGGAGGGGGGAAGGGAAGGTTACTGCTTCCCCGCTGGAAGGGTTTCCAGCCCTACAGGTGTTTTTTCACTCAGTCAGAGTGAAGGAGTGATTTACTTGGCTGCCTCTGTTCTCCTTGCCTTGTCAGGCGCAGCCACAGCAGCACGAGATGTGCCGTGGGCACGGGGTCACTTCTCATCTTCAAAAGGCTGTTTCAGAGACAATGCAGCTGTGCCCTGAGCAAGAGCTGCGTCCAGGGACAGCATGCAATGGGGAGGGGGAGAGTCCCCACCCCGAGCTGTACATCACCACAGGAGAGTGCAAAAGGCGGAGGACCAGCACCCACACGAGGCACACCACCAGGCCGGAGAAAAAGGAAGGGTGCCTCCCAGGGAGACACTGCAGACCTGGCTCCTACCAGAGGACAGCGTGGGGCTGCACAGGCTACAAAACTCCAATCCGTCCTTGTTTCCCTTCCCGCTCCTGAATCACAAACTGTACTCACAGTATCTGGGTCCCAGCCAAGCTTGGGGCTCTAGCACAATCTCACACTTTACAGCACTACTCCACAGCAGTAGTTCCCAAATTCCAGGTAACTAGCCACTAGGGTCCCTCCTCTTTGAAAATGGCTTGTCACGCAACACGGATCCTTCTGTTTCCCGCCAGCTCCTTAGTACAGAGCTGGGAACACAGGGATCGTTTCCCTCCCGGCCCTCCGTGGTATCCGTGCCACTGGAACGCTGCCTGACTGCCAGCAGGATGGGAAGTCTCCTGGGGGTTCTCAGCTGCAAGGTGCTCTCGCTGTTTGGGGCTTAAGACACAGAAACACTGGCTATAGCTCCTCCTTTGACCCCCTTTTCATAGCAGGGGGTGGGTAGATAAAGGCCCCAAAACCACAAAAGTTTCTGCCCCTATTCAGCCCCTCACTATTCGGATGCTATTCTAGCATTAGCACAGCCTAGGCTTAAAACGCCTACCACAGTGTTGGAGAGAACAGGGGTTCCCCAATGATCTAATATAATAAAAAACAGGTAACACGGGAGATTAGTAAAAGGCCCAGCTCAGAATTTCCATTCGGTCTAACACTCTTTTAAAGGGCAGGGAAGGCTTTCTGAGAAAAAAGTGGGAGTAGAAAACGAAAGTTTGCTTTTTTTCAGGGCTTCCTAGGAGCCCCTCTCTTAATGAGTTGGGGGAATCCCTGAGTCATTCAGAGTTAAGGAGCAGGATTTAGGTCCCGAGTGCATACTGCAAAGTCAGGGGCTGCTTATCTGCCTCACACTGCACTCAACCCACTCAAGTAAATAAAAATGGTGGGAAGGCCAGAGGAAAGAAACGGAATGGGATCATTTGACCCTGCTGCTCCCATGGCACAAACATCAATTCGTGCAAGTCCTGCCACTTTATTAGGATGAATCCAAATGCAATAGATGGCTTGATTAAAGTTTAGCCCATTCTCAGCCAGGCCACATAGGTTGCCGTTACCTGGATTCAGTTCCTCAGCATGCACTGTCTTGGAATTACAAAGGATACAGACTCAGCAGAAACAGCAAAGATGACAGCAGGTGTATCAAGTGTGTTACAGGAGTCTCATGCCCCTATATAACAAATGTGTTTCAGAATCTATAGAAGCATCCTGCTGGACCTTACCTGCACATCTACTAGAAACATTTCAAGGATAACAGGAATAGGGCAGATGAAAAAAAATCAAGGAAAAGAGGTAAGGAGTAGCAGTATATAGGGTTCCTCTTTACACCTTTCAGAAAAGCCCAGTAAAAAGCTAAGGCGCTCTTACTTATATTAAAGAGTTAACAGGCAGGAGAGGGTTACATGAAAGACAAGATTTAGTATGTTCTTAGGTAGTGTTAGGAATATTGTATTAAGTGACACTAGCATTCAACATCCTCTCAGAGTATGCTGCCTTTCAGATCATAATTTGGGGACAAGGAGTCAAGAAGAGACAACATACAGGAATATTATGTGAAATTAGGATGCAGTACAGGTCCTACAATGTACCTTTATCTAGCATAATATAAGGTACGTAGTTTAAGAAGGCTTCAGGACAAACTGCTGCAAGAAGTGCCCTTTGAGATTCCCTGGATTGGTTATTGAGGATATACACCTTGAAGAGTCTCAGCTGCTGGACTCCAAACCCGTGAAACAGGATCTACCTTCAGAGAGCTAGTCTGTTTTTTGGGGTTTTTTTAGTGGCCAAAGAGTGCAGGTTAAGCACAGTGAGCCAGATGGGTATTACTGACAGCTAATTAGTTTGAACTTAACAACAAAGCCTTTAGGTGAACGGCCTGCAAAACCTCATTTAGGCAACCACGAGACAAACTCATTAACTGCAGGCTCCATTACCCACTTCACTTTGCCAGTTGTAAAGAAAGTTTAAAAATCACGTTCATAGGAAAGAACCGTAAGACAAATCAGGAGATTAAAAAAAAAAAAATCCCTAAAAAGAGAAACCTTCCGCAGATTCCATCTCTATAGGAACAGTGCCATAAATGCATAAGAAAGAACTAGGCAGCCCTATTCTCCCTGCTAGGCTTCTTTTTTTCCCTTTAAAGGAACAGATGCCAGCATGGTAAGCCTGTGTCTATCTTTTATATTAAACGTAACCAAGACATTCTGCCTGAAAAGTAACACCCTAAAATCCACCTCAGAAGCTGCAGCTTGCTTTTTTAATCATAAAACAATTACTCTAATTAAGCGGCAATCCCTTTCTTGCACTGCAAGCTTCCCTCCGATTAGATAAAGAAAGCACAGTGCACTGGTAGCCTCCTTCATGCACCCTCGGTGCTGGATACTTACAGCTCCCACACCACAGCCTCTTGCAGCCCTCCCTTCCCTCCCTCCTTAATTTCAATTAAGTTCCACTTTTAAGAAAGGAGAAGAAAGGGGAAGGGGATGGGGGAGGGAGAAGCAGCACTTACCCTTTGGGGACTCACTTCTGGCTTTCTTGCTTTCTAAAGGACACTCACTGCTGCTGTTGGGAGAACATACTCTTCTCTTACCTAAAATTTCATCTAGAAGAGAGATGAGAAACCTGAGTATCAGATAAGGTTGTACTTTCCTCTTTGTAGAAGCAACCAGAGAGACTTTGGTATTTTGCTTCTCTCTGTCTCACACACACAGAGACACACACACATATATTACAAGCAGAGGAAAAAAAATGAAAGTAAGAAAAATCATCATCTTGAGAGCCTTGATCTGCTTTCCTAATCACGCAGTCCAAAAGCACATAATGACTATTCACACACTGATCAATGCAACATTTTAAAGCTATAAATTCTGAATCCAGTTGATTTCCTTACTGAGTTTCATCATTTGTTCTGTTGCCTTTTGTCCCCCTGGTGTTTCCACTCCTTTCATGCCCTGATGCAAAGCAACTGGGGGAGAGAAAGGGGAGGAAAAAAACAACACAAAAAAAAAGCACAACAGATCTCTGAATCTTCCTACCACAGTATCTCTCTCTCTCTCCCCCCCCCCCCCTTCAAAACCTCAAGGTCCTTAGCAATCTTCCCCCTCTAGATTGTACGGAAACACTCAAGCCTTTTGCATTACTGCAGCCCTACAAACCAACACAAAATATCTAATATACAATTACAGCGTCCCCGAACAGATTTAAAATCAATATCCTCCCATAATAATGCTGGGGAAACTGAAAGCATGATGTTGCATACGGGCAGGAAGGAAGAGACTGTTTGTCACTGCAAGCATCAAATTCTCATCTATCAAGGGCTTGTTAAAGATGCAGCATCTTAAAATAAAAAAATAAAAAAAATCTCACAAACAAGCACCATATTTGAGTGAGTATACATCTGCCTGTGAGTCAACATGCACGCAAAGCTGCTGCAATTTGCCCAAAGTGTGTTGGTTAAGAAAGGTTACAAACCCCCTTGGTGCTGTTCATAAGAACAACAAAATTATTTATGTTCCAGGGGACATTTTAAGCCAAGCAACTGTCCCTCATAGTCAGAATCACTCCACGTTACTTTGAATTCAGCTAAGCAAGCCCAGGTTCCTGCCTTGGCATTGTACTTATCAAGAGATCCAGAGCACAGATCTGTGGCTGCCACAGGCGGAGCAGTGCCGAGAGCAGACAGTTAACGTGCCGAGGGCAGAGCCTGCCAGGCAATGCCTTTATCCAAAGAGCAATTCTGGAACTCTGCAAAGTTACAAGTGGCATTTCAAGGTTTTAAAGAGCACAAGCTGCCTCCGATCTTATCTTGCCATGACCCTGTCACCCAGCCTGTTAACAAAACTGGCACTCAGAGACAACCGCAGAGGCTTGCAACCATCCATAACCAAAAGCAAAGTAAATACAACAAAACCGTGGCAATTGGAAAGCAGATGGGAAAGGATAGTCAGACAGTGACAGCACTGAAGTTTTCTCAGCACTTCACATCCCAGGTGTTGCGTCAGCCTTTCAATACAATTTGAATTTTATCAATCCTCCTGCCTCAGTTTACCCTTTAAATAACTTCTCCAAAGCCACAGACAGTATCAGCTTGCCAAGCCAGTGTCGAAGCTAGGAAGTACCTGGCCACACAGCACAAATAGAGTCACAAGCTCCCTCCCCATGGAATGCTTCATTCTTCATGTTGATTTTCCTGGAAATGTTAGTCTGATGCTGCAAACCCTCAGCGCTGGAGGCCAAGACCATATATCCTCCTCAGAAGTGTTCTCATCCGGGATTTGTGGCTTTGAAACAACAAAAGTCCCGTTGCTCTGCTCGCCCCTCCCAGCCTAGGCAGGAGGCAGCAAAACCCAACAGGGCTTGTTCTTATGTACTTCAGGCAGAAGAGACTCCATGGAAGGACTGGTGACAGAAGCACCAGTTACATGTGACAGCAGTTAGAATATGAGCAGTAAAGATTCCTTGATTTCACAACTCTGCCAAGGCACCTCATTACTCTCCTATCACTCCTTCTCTCTTGCTATTCCACTCCCACCCCCACGCGCCCATCTGCCAGCAGACATTCGCTCCGACTAGCACCATGCCTCGCTATTCCCAGACACGTCAGCAGGACAGGTTGCAAGTCCCATCTCACTCCCAACCGGCTGCACTTGTGCAGGGGAAGACCAAGATCGCGCAGTAACTCTGAAGCGGCACCAACTCCACCCGACCCATGCCCCACCAGTCTCCGAAACACCCACTTCTCGGCACACACGCAAGCGAGCTGGCAGCTGCACGAACAGTCAGGTGTGACAGCCTGCCATCACCGGCACGCCACAGGGAACGGTCCCAGATGTCTTGCAGTCGAGATCTGAACTTGGCCCTCCAGAGAGATCCCACGTTAGCGCATTAATCTCTAAGATGAACTGCAGCATTTTCCTTCCAGCATCTCAGGTTCACATTGTACCAAGGCACCAAATCCCACACACTGAATTTGTAGTTGGGCTGCACACACACCCCCTCCCCCCCCAGCAGTTTTTACGGCAGTTCGTTAGATCACAGAATGAAAATTTTCCTCTTCCCTCTCTTCCCCCCCTCCCTTCATTTAAGGCAAAGTCCCGGGATGTGTCAGAGACTGCCTCGGTCCCCAGAAGTGTGGGGACTAAATCAACAAGATATACAGTAAGCAAGGAAAAGGCAATAATTATCATCAGTAGCCAGTATGGAGGCACAAAGATCTAACAATCTGCCCCAAATTTACTGAGTCAGTAGGAGAGCACAAGACTGAATAGCAATCTTTTGAATTCCATCCAGCCCAGTGGTATAAGACGTCATACCTCCCTCTTAGCTTTCTTAGCTGCAAAGCAGGGAAGAGGCAAGTCACATTTTCATTAGTTACTCAGTAAACTCACAGATTCTGGGGTACAACCTAAACAGCAATGTATTTGTATTACAGCACCAATCCTTTCCTCTTTACAACTTAAACCATATGCACAGCTTTGGCATACCACTTACACCTGCTAAACACGTGCCCTTTTATAGGACCCTATACTCTAAAATCATCCCTTTATGTCCACACGCCATTCATCCAACCATTCTTTACACTCACACACAAAGAACCAGGACAGTGGTTGAAGGCATTGGGATGGGAGCATCCATAGCCCATCTCTCTGTGACTCTGCAGCAGCAGCAAAACCAAATATGTTTTGCAAATGAGTTGGCAGCGTAGCTTCTGGATGTCTTACCACCCTCACAAAGACAGGTTGTGCATTTAGAGTACCTTGCTACTCATTGACCAGAAAGCCAAGAGATTGCTGTTTGCTCAGTCCATGCACCTGCAAAAGGCAACACTCCACCTTAGAGAGAGGATGGGGAGGGATGGTTGTGGGGAACTTTTTTTTCTCCCCCCTTTTTTTTTTGTTCCCCAAATCTCTGCTTTTACCTCCTCTCTTCTGCCTTCTACAAAGCATTTCAGTTGAAAGGAAGCCAAATCAGGGCAGTTTTTTAATATTAAAGCTGAAAATGAAAGACATTATCAGTAGAACTGTAATGTTATGAAGCTAAGCCAGGCAATAATACAAGTAAGGAGTGCTAGAGGAAGCCCTGAGCATACTGATCACTTACTGCCACCAGTGCAACACAGCCCTGACCACACACACACACCCCCCGACAGGTCTCCCATGCAGGTGCCCAGATCCTGTATTACATTCAAGGCTCCTGCTAGCCTGGCAAGGCAGTACAGAAGTGATCCAGAGAGGTTTTTGGAAACAAAGTCAAATGTTTTCCCCAAAGATCTAGAAATCAAAGTGGATTTTTTCCCCCTCTTTAGTGGGAAGAGAAAGTCCAGCACTCACCTGCTGCACCTCTACAGTGAAACGTGAATAGAGACAGGCCAGGAAAGTAGGTCAGCTGGAAGAGGACAGCACTTCTGTCCCCATACAGAAGTATCACCTCATGGCTTTGCAATCGTAAAAAGAAAGGATGTGGGTACGGCACCATAAAACGAGCTTGTCTAGAAGCCAGGACAATGTGGGTTTTATCTAATCTCAGCCCTCTTTGGACTTGAGACACACTGATTAGAGGCCATGGGTGGAAACGCCACCTGGAAGTAACAGTGCTTTACACTCCCTGCACTGCCTCTAATCCTCAGCCTCCCAGCGCTCAGCAGAGCTGAATGACTTAAGTCATGTTCACCAACACACCTAAGAACCCCAAGCCTCGTTATCAGCTTTGAAGAGAGGACCTGGGAGCCTAAGTCAGCTGGGAAGATTAAGAAACCTATCTCTAGGTTTCCCCAAAGACGGAGGGACTTTATCTCCACTTTACTAGGGAATCTGCAGTAGAGGAGGTGCACCATGGACACACGTTGCATCAATGACAGAGTGAGAACTGAGCCCACGTCCCCGTGACCGAGCACAGGGTTTCACCTGGAGAAGGGAAATGAACAAATAGGAGGTGGTCACAAAATTTTTGCCCTCCCAATGCTGTTAAATGGGTGGACCACAGAGCAAGTCCCAATTACGGCCGAGGGATTGCATCAAGTTTTTCTGCACTGTGTTATGCTACAGACACAACGGGAAGAGATCAAGACCTATCTCACGATCCCTATCCGTATCATTGGTTTTGCTCTGAAAGCTTCTTGGACCCAGAAGTCCTGAGTAAACAGAGAACTGAGCCAACTTACACGGGAAATCACCCAGGCTCAGATAGCCAACATCCAACGAGAAGAGAGTCCTTTTTTCACCTCCTTTCACATTATTTTAAGAGGAGGGAAACATCCTCCCTTGCTCTTAATTCCCCCATCAAACTTAAACCCTGGAGATGACAATTCCCACTGACCAGTCTGAAATGTCTTGGCAGCATCTCAGTTTATTCAGCTCTCCCCTTTCCTTTGGCACAAACAGGCTACCACCAGAGGAGAGCTGCTCCGCTCAAACTCTGGTGCTCCAGCCCTGCTGCTCAGTCTGTTCCTGTGCCGAATGTGACAGGTTTGCAGGGACCCTGGAGACTTACTTCCCCAGCGATGGCCTTGTGCCTTTGTAAGAAGCTGCACCAGCTTGCCGAGTCCCAGCAGGCCCAGAGCTGCTCTCAACAAAGGCTGGCGTACGAGGGGCC